TGGCCAGGCAGAAGGAAGGGAAAGGCAGTTCAAGGAGCCAGCCGTCCAGTCCTGCACTGACTTTGCTGCCTTTCAGAGCGCAGCTGAGACAGGAGCTGTCACTGTGCATGGCACAGGGGGCTCATCTCCTGTCCCCACTCAGCTCTCACCCCATGGCAGGGCTTGCTGCTGCCAGGCTGCAGCTCTGGCACAGCCCAAGCCCATCTAAACACCACCGTAGCCCTGCACCCTGCCTGAGGCCATGCTGGCACTCAGGACCCTCCATTTAGCCATATTTTTAGGCCAGCTTAGTAAACTGCAATGTTCCAGCACAGGAACAAGAGGTGGAACACAGCTCCTGGCAGGAGGAAGGACAGCCACAGCAGTAAACCAGCAAGCCCATGGCATGGGGGTGACGCGCTGCACCACAGCCTCCCGTGGCTAACTGCAGAACTTAACACAACCGCTCAGTGCTCAGCTCTCTGGCACAGTCAGATGGTATTGCTGGCACAGGGCTCTCCTGGATGGGGCTCAGAGCAGCTCACAGCAATACACAGGAGAGAGCTGGTCCCTATGGGCAGGACAGAGGAGGTCCCCCTGCTTAGAGCTTCACCAGGAGGATACAACCTGTGTCACTGTGTGCTCTCCAGGCCAAGGAGCACATCCTGGCCTGTACCACGGACTGGTCAGTGGGACTGCAGCAGCCTGACTGCTCCAGGCTGCTTTGGAAGCACAGCCTCATCTGCTTCACTATCAGCATGAGGCTGGGCTTGTGCTGATGCGATCACTGAAACTATTCAGGTTTCAAGTTTTCCTTTTCCAGCACGTTATTTTAACTAAGGCTATCCATCACAGATTTTTTAAGCAACAGTGTTTTATGCCATGGGTTTCATTTGCTTATTGTGCTCTTTGATGGGCTGCATTCCTTAGCATTAACATGAACAAGCTTTTTCTGTTACAGTTGATATTTTACAGCCTTGTTTCTAGAGAAAATAAGGCTTATACAACAGCACTGTCCATAAGTGTGTGCCAGTCCTCCCCTGGGAAACGTGGAGCCCACTGACAGACACCAACCAATTTCACAGGAGGGAAATCTCAAACTAAGTTCCTCCAAGCTCAAGGAAAATCAGACGCTCTGTAGGTAGGTCAGACCCTTTTAACACCTCCAACAAGCAACAAAGGGCCCCAGCCCAACCCTTCCCCACATCCTCTCTGGCTACACTTCCTAGCCTACCTCCAAAGGCCAGCTCCCAGCAGAGCCTGAGCAGTGGAGGAACAACCACACACCCACTCCCAGAACAGCCATCAGCTAAGCCAGTGCAGGCACTGCAGGAGGGGCTCCAGGGGAGGTGGGGGTACCCAAAACACTGCAGCCAGGGTACTCGGCAGAATTACAGGAGAGGAGGGCTGGAAGGCACAGAGGAATGGAGCCTGTGCAACAGACTGTGCTAACTCTGCTGTTCAAGAAACAATATCAAACAAACTGGAATATTTTAGCTTGTGACTATTTTATTAACAAGGTATTGATGATGCAACGTGACAATAACTCAAAAGCAGAGTTTGAAGAAAAATGCTGAGCACACCATTCATGTAGAAGGTTAACATCTTTTGCCCCTGTCCACTACAGGGGTCAAAACTCGCACCCACATTTCAAAACCTGTACATTAAAGTGTGTGTGGGGAATCATTCTCATCCTTTCAGCTTCACCTATGTTATAACACAGAAATTAGTTTTCTAAACTCTCTGAACACAGAGGATAAACCAAGTCCATCCTGATTAAACAAGCACCTATCTCAAACCAAGTTAGCTCAGCAGCCTGTGGGCAGACCCCGATGAGGAGTGTCCATCTATCCACACGGAGAAGAGCAGAGCTGAGCTATGAACTCACGTAACAGATGAAAAGGCATCTGCTCAGACATCCAGGAAACTCTGCACAGATTCACGGAATCTGATTCTATCCTGGGATGGTTGACTGAAGGCTTTTAGCCATCTTTTACACCCCCTCTTCGCATCAGATTTATCTCCTCTTCCATTACCGCCATGTGCTTCTCCGTTCACAAGGAGCTTAACACAAACAAAAACTTTAGAAGTGGCGAGGCATCTTCTGCCTTCCCATAAAGCAAAGTGATGTTTGACACAAATCTGCACCAATTCTTCAGTTTGGGTCTAGCGTGGGCTTTTGAAACAATTCTTACCATCCTCTTTTACAGTGCTTGGGTGCCCATAACAAAGCAGCTTATCACCTGGAGTGCTCAGACTGAAACTGAACTGGAGCATACACATCAACCACTGAAGCACATAGGACCAGATCACATTAAAGCCTCCAGAAATGCAAACAACATGGACATCAGGTCCTCGGCACCAACAGACGCATTCTATGGGCCCATTCCTCCCACACCACAGTACTCGACAATACAGATGAAGACTGACAACGCTCTGAGTAAGCTGATGTAACAGTAGTGGGTTCATCAGTGATTACTTCAGTTTAAAAATAAAACTAACCCAGCAAACAAAAAAAGCCCATCCCTTTTCCCCGTGATGCTGACAAAGTCTCAGCTACCTGAGGCACAGAGCTTCCAAACGTCCAGCAAACAGCACATGGACAACTACAGGCTTGCCTCTAACCTCGCAGTACCTGAGCTAAAAGGGAACAGAAAACACATGAAGAGGAGACAGTACAAAGAGCAATCTGCTTGAATAAACTTCCTACCATTGCAAGCGTGGACCACTGATGACAAGTGGTTATTTTCTAGTCTTAAGCTATTTTATGGTTTGGAACCCTATTACATTAACTGACTCAGGACCTTTGAGGGTGAACATTATCAAACATTTTCCAGGTACATAATAAACCCAGCTTGTATCAAAAGAGAATCATCTTCAAGAGGGTAATTAAACATGACACCTCTTCACCTGATCTGTATGTACAGAGCCCATTTCTCCAACTGAGCTTTCAAAGACTTTTCTCTTAAGAGTGCTAGTAAGCTTTCCAGTCCCCAGGAACATAAAATTAAGGAACTCTACATCCAGTAGCTACAGCTGCTTGAGTATCACTGCAGCTACACTGAAGTCTTCAAAAGCTTCTTCTAAATCTATATTTTTAAGTATTAAAAGTATCAAATTTCCATTATGTTTCTTGTTTTCTTCTTTAATATTCCTCAGTTCTGTCTTGATATGCAAAATGCACCAGCTTTCCCAAGTGTATTTAAAGTGATTTAATTACAACTACTTGGTCTTGATGAGAGTTTAAGGTGTCAAATAAATTGAGATAGGTAATTCAATCAAACATCCTATATTTAAATCTAGCTACACCAAGCCCACAAGTCAAATATTAAAGTACCTTTAATGTTCTCACAGATATTTCTGCTATCTGTACCTCCCACCCCTCACCCAAAAACATACCTTAAACCTTCAGTCCATACTAAGCTTCCCTTTAGCAAACACAGAAATATAATCACTGCCCATGTAACTACTAATAACTAACTTGCTCTTACACTCCTAATTTATTTCTTAACTGCTAACAGATGCTCTTCTTCATCATTTCTCAGGAACAGACAGACACAGATACAGGACTGCAGCACAGCCACACATTCAAGAGAACAAGCTGAGCCCTCACCTACAGGATTTATCTCCCCCCAGGTGATGGATTTGACTCAGGTGACCAGGCATGGCACCACAGCCCAAAGGCATTATTTCAGATAAAAGGAAGCCTGCTGCACCTAAATGAGCTCCCCCAGGACAGTAAAGTGAGAGAGGTACCTAGGAAAGGGAGAAACAAGAAGCAACTCGGGTAGTGCTATCTCTTTTGAAAAGGGTACTGGGAAATGAATTGAGGACAAAGGAGACCACGGAACCTTCAGAGCCAGCCCACTCCTTCCTGAAACAGTGAATACTTCAAAAACACCAGATATAAGACGTAAACTACAGAAGAAAGAGCCTAGAGGAAACTACAGTGGATGAGGATCCCACCACAGGGGTAAGAAATAAGTTCACCTGTATTAGACTGTCTGTCCTAGCATCTTCAGCCCCCAGGTACCAAGCAGGAAATACTGAGTGTTTCTGAAGCTCTATCTAGACTGAGGAAATCTACATTGGACTGTGTCTAAACCAAATGCTGCCTGTTAGAAATGTGAAAGGAAGGGCCAATACTGGTTTTCCCTAGTCACCCACAGCTAGGGCTGCAAGCCTCCCAGTGCATGCAAGTACAACTCGTGCTGCCCAAAGGAACCCCTCTGTGTAGGGGTTTTACCACTAACTAGGCTGGTATGGCTGTGCCAGGGAAGTCCTTGTGGGATAGTCTAATCCTTAGATTGAATTACCTGCCTTCTGCTAATTAGCACCTTCTAAAATACAGGGTGAATCAAAGCAATCATGTTTAGAATGGCCTCAAGTAAACAGTTATGATTTACACTGAATCAGGGCAGCTGAAGCTTCCAACAACTGCTCTGATTTGATGGGAGTTCCTGTTCATTTATTAACGTAAATTAGCTATTCCTAAACAAGGACAGGTTCCTTTCCTTGCATACGAGGCTTCAAGGATGCCAATGTGCCCTGCAGTATCACCTTCTGAGCCTCACGCTGCCGATAATGACACTCCTGCTGTGCTGCCACTGCGTGTGGTTGTGTATATAAAATAAAGTAATTTATTTATAGGTAAATTCTAATCCAAACGTCTTCCAGTCAGATTTTTTTTTTCTCCTAACACTTGGCACTTTGGCAATAAATAGCAGGATCCACTTTTTAGCATTGTACTACTTTAAGCATGCACACCTTATTTTCCAGAGGCAGTGAACAGCCCCTTCTAGTTAACCTTACTTTCATTATAATGTTATACTTGCATATTTATTGTAGTGGTGTAACTTTATGTGGTGTTTTATGTCTTCTAACCAGACTCCTCACCCAACAGAAAGAAGCTCTGACTGCACACAGGATTTGGGCACCCTCCAGTATCCACCCTCTTACACATGCACCTCAGGCATCCCCACCCCGCAGTGGGCTGAGCACCCTCATTGCACTGAACTCACCAGCTAGCCAGCTGCCCTTCAGGGTCTTTCTTAGCCAGGTGCATGGTGCTCTGATGGGGTTGAGCTCTCAAACATTTCCCCACGGGGAGGTGGATTTCTTATGTCACAATACAGCAGAACCCAATGTGGCTGCTGGATTAAGCCTGTCCTCCAGCGGCTGCCCATCCTCTCCCCTTGTCCACAGACCACAGCATCACCACAAATACTGACCCATCATGCAGTGAAACTGAGGCAACGAGGACCAGTATGTGATCACACAGCTGGTGGGGCTGGCAGTGGTGACACTCAGCTCATTACTTGACACTCAACTCATTACTTGCTTGCACCAGATTGTCCTGATAAGTATTTTCCTGGGATCAGGAGGTGCAATGAAAGAACTTCTCTGTAGTGAAGAGGACCTTCAGTTACTAATCAAAGTAATTACTGAAACTGATCTGATTGGGAAGTCATCTATTTACACCAAGTTAAGACTGCCAACTGGGAAGCCACTATCCAGCCCCTGAGACTGATTGCTTTAGATGTGGATGATTTCACACTTAATTTTTCAAGTGCTATTGAAAATGTCTTCATCTCTGAATGTAAAATATTTATTTTTCTAGAACACTAAATAATGGCCATGGAGGCAGCTCAGCCTGCAAACAGCACGCTGCATTGGCTGCAGGGTACCTCGCGCTATGGGAGCTTCTCCTCTGAACAGCCAGAAGAGATGCACCACACTGCACTCAACTCTGCACTTGAGCAAATTAACCCGTGTTCATTTGGGTCTGACACCACCAAACCCTCTCCCTGAGACAGCTCCTCTTTTAAACGAGCCTGGAAAGAGCTTACAGCTCCCTTACAGGAGCAGCAGTGTGGTTCAATTTAAAGAGTCTGGCTCTAAACACTGCAATCCGGGATTGATGCATCAGCTGGGCACTTCAGGTGGGTATGTGCATTTCCTGAAGACTTAACTGGGATCTATAAACATCAAAGGAACTTTTCATATGCAAGAGATGGAAAACAAGCTCCCATTTAAAATTTACAAGAGGTTGGTGCCAACACTTAGTGGTAATGGAAGCTTCCAGCAAATGAAAGAATTTCATTCAGACTTAGTCCTTTACTTTCTGGGCTAATAGGAGTAAGAACCATCATATCTGATCTAGTCACAGTAATGAATCAGAAAGGCACTTGACAGAGAGGAATGTTCCTGAGAAAGTATGGAATAAGGATGCAGTGGCAGGGGAAGTGTGTGTGTGTGTGGGGGGGAGCCTTTGAATCTGGGATGATCTTAATAGTCCTATGGGGACATGATCCAAGTCAAAAACCATCACAGATAGAACTGGCTCCCCTGCGGGGACGAGGCTGAAACCACACGGATGGGGAAGGACTTGCACGGGGTTTGAACAGGGAAAGCTGCAAACCCATACCCTGGGAGAGGCAGTGTTAAGAGTTATACAGTCCCACTGGCTCCAGCTGGGATCTTGCAACTATGACAATGATGTCTTGGAACTTCCAGATACTCCTTCAAAAGGGCAAGAAATCACAAGCTCCTCTCGGAGCACACGTGTGTCTAGAAATGCACATGAATTCTGAACTTCTGGTGAATTCCAGCCCTACTCCACACATCCTGCTTTTACGGACTCCTGGAATGGTGGAGGTTGGAAGGGAACTCAGGAGGTCACCTCAACCCCCCTGCTCAAGCTTTCCTGGCGAGCTCTTGCCAAAATAATTCTGTTTGACTGTCAGTACCTGTTCTTACAAAAATAGGCGACCATTCCAAGTTATTATTCCACTTATACCTATGGAAAAAGCTTCTTCCACAGGAATGAAATATTTGCATAGAAAACGTGATTCTCAAAGTCTCCTGCAAGCACTGTTTTTGCTGGTGTCGACCTCAGCAGCACAACAAGTGATCAAAGAAAAGAAAAGGCAGTACAGCATGGAAAAACTCCATAAGATGAAGACTACGTTTCCTTTTGAATTCATCAGGCTCTTTTCTTTTTAACTGCTTAATGCTCCTCAGCCCTCAGCAGTGGTCACATCAGCGTGGAGTTATCAGCACTTGTGGTGGAAGTCTGAAGGTGGAAAACTACTTTTAAATGATGAAAACCCAAGTCCAGCTCCAGCATTTGTGGGGTGTTTCCACGGGTGGAGAAGTGATCCAACTGTGCCATTAAATCTCCGGGACACACTGACAAGGGAATTTGTTCGCTAACTACAGAACTTTCTCAAAGGAAGCAGGAATGTCAGCTTCAGTGCGTACTCCACCAACTGGAACAGGATCAAGTCTTAACTAAGTTCCACACAATGTTTTCAGGGGAAAAGTGGAGAATGTTTTATGGAATTTAAGTTGGGATTTGGCCTGCGTCCTAGAACATATATCTTGTTATGGAAACTGCTGAAACACTTTCAAGTGGGCAAGCCACAAGTGTCCTTGGAGCTATCCAGTCAACTGGAAGTCACACAGGCAAACCCTCCTCAAGCAGAAAAGCTTGAAATTGGAAGGGGGGAGTGAGGGAGAGGCAAATAATCTTGGAAACTTATCTGTTAAACAGAACGGTTCGCTTGTGCCTACAGCATGAAGTAGTTACAACTTGTTTTCTCCTATTGTCACAGATCCAATATGTTACTCCAGCTAAATCATAATCTCTTCCTGCCTCGGTTCATCCATGTGTAAACCTGGTTCGCTAACTGTTACCTTAATGTGTCATGGGGCTTAATTAATAACACTTAGGTCTTTTAAGCCCTCTACAAACATTAACTACTTTGTATAACAACTCTCTGAGGTATTATTATCCCCATTTTACTGATGGAGAAATGGCAAAAGAGGCTGCGACTCATCGAAGGCAACAGAGGAATAGTTACACTTAGAGATCCTCTTCACAGACTAATGTATTGGAACAGTGGAAACTTATCAAGAAAGGCAAAGGCAATAACTACAATCTCAAAATTACTTTGTGAAGCGCATCACAAGCAACTGAAGACGATGAAAAACCCCACCAGACACAACGGGCTTGGGATCAGAGCAAGTGCTACAACCATCATCACGGAGGAAGAAATAGCCTAGGCTGAAGCTCACCAGAACAGCCACAAAGAAACACTAAGACCTGTCCTCTCACGCGCTCCCAAGTACCATAAAATCGAGCAACAGGCTGCACAGTCCTCCTTAGTAAGCGAGCAGACAATCAATGCGGCATGCAACATGCCAATACCTTACGCCGCGTTCCCGGTGTTGACAGGGAAGCCAATACCGGGCTGAGATGGCGGTGGTCCCGCACGTTACCGGCACAGCACGGCCGCCGGCCCCACCTCACGAGTGACAGCACGCGAAGTTGGTGTCCGCCGCCCGGGGTCTCCCCCCCCGGAGCCGCTGACAGGCGCGTCCAGCGCTGCCGCCAGCAACAGGCGCGTCCTGCGCGCTCGCTCCGCGGAGCCGGGCTCGGCCCGCCCGTGCGCAGCAGGGGCCGGGATGGAGCCCGCGGAGCTACGCCCCCTGAGCCAGCCCGACCCGGCCCGGACGCGCCCCCGGCGCACACAACGCAGCCCCCGCGGCGAGGAATGGGACGGGGCGGCGGGACGGGACGGGACGGGGGGCGGCCGGGAGGCGGAGGCGCTCCGCAGGCCTCGGCCTAGAGGGGGAGGCGGGGGGTGTCGGCGCGGGGGTGACAGCCGAGCCGCCCGCTCCTCCGGGGGCAGGGGGCTGGCCCGGGCGGGCTGCGCCGCCGCTCCGGCGCGGCCGGGGCTGTCCGGCCTCCGCGGCCGGCGCGGGGAGGTTGAGCGGGCAGGGACGGGGTGTCTCCGCAGGCAGCAGAGCGCCGCCGGAGGACGGCCGGGGCCGCGGGGCGCAGGGGCTCGCCGCGGGGCAGGCCCTGAGGGGAGGCTCCCGCCGGTCACTCCGTAGCGGCCACCCCTCGCCCTCCCACCTGATCCCGGGCTGGGACCCCGCGCTGCCCGAGCCGCCGCGTCGCTTACCTGCGGGTGCGGGGTGCCGGGGAGCAGGGCCCCGGTGTCCGGGCTCCCGGCGGCAGGGCCGGGCCGCGCGGGCTCCGCTCTGTTTACACCGCCGCCGGGGCTCCGCGCTCCGCCGCCGCTCAGCAGCCAGTCGCCATTTCCCGCCTACCGACCTGCTACACCGCACGGAGGGACCCGGATGGGGAGAGGGGCCGCCGCGCAGGCGCAGCCCGGCCGGGGGCGGGGGGCCCGGGGACGGCGGCGCCGGGGCAGGCCGGGAAGGAGGGAAGCCGGGGCCTGGCGCGGGGAGCGGCGCCCCGAGGCGGCGGGAGGGGGTCCGGCCGCCTGTTCCCCGGGCCGGGAGCCGCCGCCGGGACCGGGAGGCTGCGCTTCGGGCGCCGGGACCCAGGGTACCTCACACGGCGCAGCGGCGGCCGCCTCGCTCTGTTGGCGCCGGGCCGAGCCGCCCGCCCGCGGCCCCTGAGGTGAGGCGAGGGGCGAGCGCTGCGGGGCCCCGCGGAGCACGGGGAGGGGGGACGCGGGCGGCCGCGCAGTGAGGTGCGGGGGGCGGCCGCGCTCCCGCTGGGGCGCCCCAGGCGAGGGGAAGCCGCCGCTGGCGGCCCCCGGGAGGGAGCGTTCCCCGGAGGGGCGGCGCGGCTGCGGCCGGGAGGAGCTTCCCTGCGCTCCCCGGGGAGGAAGCGGCGCGGCGGGAAGCGGCGGGAGGGGTGGTCGCGGCCGCTGCAGCCGGAGGGGCGGGCGGCCCCGGGGGAGGCAGCCCCCGGTCAGGGGCCGCTTCCCTCCCTTCCCCGGCCGGCCGGGCCCGGCCTTCCCTCGGGGCTGGTTCCCGGCCGGAGCTGCCGCTCGCGTTCCGGGCTCATCTCTTCCAAGCGCAGGCAGCGCTGGTTCTGCGGTTTGAGCGGCTGTTGGAAGCCCCAGCGGGGCGTAGAGTGAAGTTCTAGTTCCACTTTCTCTTTGTTCTGTTGTGTTGTTTAGGCAGCCTTTTCCGTGTGAAGTGTCGAGGATGCTGCGGGCTTTAGCGGTTGAATGACTTAATGAAGTAGCTTGACCGTCTCATTCAGCGAAGTTTTAAGAGGATGTAGCGAGGTTTAGCTGTGTAATGGGAACCCTGCCGAACCTGTAGATTTGATTTTTCTTTCTGTTGGGGATCGCTTTTGTCCATGAAGCTTTTTAAACCGGACTCTTCAGCTCTTAGGTTAAAGCCTGTTACATTAGGATAACTCCTCAAGGTGCTGCTCAGAATGGCATGTTTTTACAGAAGTAGCTTGTATCCTCATTCCCTAACTTAGCAGTAGGCAGAACCCCACGCAGGTGCTGTCTGTTTCCTGTTCTACTACCCGTTGACTCTCTTCTTAGCTGGGTCATATTATGGCAGTCCCAGCTCTGTAATCACTTCAAACATTTATTGGCTTGTTAAACTGAACCACATCTGCAGCTGCAAAGCCAAGATTTGGTTAAGAATTCTAACACAGGACTCTGTATTCTTTAGCAGAAGACATAAAGCTAATTTTACCCCAGCTTCCTAAGGAAAGAGGGAATAAGGAGGCAGTGGAACAGTGCCTTCCTCATTCGGAACAGGCAGCCTTGTTCCTTTACAGCAGTGAAGGATTTCTAAGCACACTCACTACCCACAGCATCTGAGTGTTTTTTCTGCGATCAGCTGTGAAAAAGGTGAGTGTGGACATGTTAGACCTGCCCAAAGGGTGTCAGTCCTTTCAGAGGAAAGTACGGCGGGATAACTGTGCGATGGCTCGGCTCACGGCGTAAACCTAAAAGGACATTCACTGGTGCTTAGGAAGTAGGAGTTCTGAAAACTGGTAGGTGGAAATGCTTCCTCAAAGTGTGTAATTAGAAGGAAAGTGGCTGCCAGGGGAAATCCTTCAGCAGGATCTGAAGTAAGCAGAGCTGTGTGTGAACAACAAACCAGCTGCGTGCATTTATAATGAGAGCCAAAAACCCTTCAGAGGAGAGATTAAAGCCTATGACTGAGGGTTCAAACTCATCTCTGTGGGTACGAGTTGTACTTCTCTGAGATACAGAATATTAAAGCCTACCTTCTGCAGAGGTGTTGTGCTCTCACTGTGTTACCTGGTGCTGAGCTATGTCAGGAAGGGGGCTGGACCAGCAGGGCTGGGAGCCACATGCCAGGTGGGAACATGTGAAATCCTATTGCTGATGGGCAGTGCTGTGAAGGCAAGAGTTCAGAGGGCTGCCTGCTGTAACCCGCTCCCCACAGTGGAGCGGGTAGCAGGGGAAGAGCATCAGCTCTTCAGTGTGTGAAACGGCAAAAGGCTGCATAACGCCGTGTCTGCCTGCGGACACGGGAAGCGTTAGAGGCTTGGAGAGTGCAGTTGGCTCAGCAGCAGTGGGGTTTCCCCTGGCAGTGGGTTTCAGGCTCTCTGTCTGAGGTGTTCTAGGTGTGTATCTTCCTCACTTTACAGAGAAACTGAAGGGAAGGATGTGTAGTTGCCAGGACGTTGGGCACCCCTGAGATGGTGTACCCGGAATGTTCATTGGAAGGGCCACTCACCGAGGTTTTATAATTCCCTCTCACCTTTCCCCCCCCGCACAAGTCTTGCTGATCCATTGGCTTTGTGTTTATATGCTCATGTAAGCTGATGTGCTTTAGAGCAACGTCCCTGTCGTTGAGATCAAGTGCTGGTGAGTTCACCAGTTTCTCTGGTATTTCAGATACCTGCAGTTAGAGGATGTATTTCATTTCAGGTTCTGGTTTGCCATGCAGTGCTTCACAGCAAGAATGCACTGCTGGAGTCCTCTGTGTGTCAGGACCCGTGTGCAGGGATCACATTGTCCCTCCGAGTTCTTTTCCATAAGCTAAAACTCTAAACCTTGCCTTACCTTTTCTTTTTCAGGTGAAAAAGGTTTGATTCCCTGAGTAATGTGGGGGTTAAGACTCTTCCTTTAAGATTTCTCTGGTATCTCCCCATCCTTGTTGCAGGGATGCTTCGCGCTTTGAGTACAGTGGTTCGGTGCAGTTTATTTGGCTAAACTGAAAGCAGCTGTGACAGACTGAGAGCTGTTGTATAAACAAACCAGTTCTTGTCTGGGTTTATATTCCTTAAATTACCTATTCCCGGTATTTGTTGTTTCTTTGCTTATCTGAGGGGAATTAATTTTGTTCACCAGGTAAACAGAGCCCTGTGCCTCCCTGAAATGAGAAGCAGCTCCCAGGCTGTGACGGCTGGGATCCAATGTGTCCAGCCAGAGACTCCCTGTTCGCACTGCTGATAATCCTGCTGATGGGAGTCAGGATTCAGATGGCACCATATCCCCCGACAGAAACCAAGGCAAGCACAGCTTTAAGTGAACCTTTATGTGTGTTTGATCTAGCACATGTTTGATCATGAAACAATCCTGTGGGAATAGAAATGAACACCCGCAAGTGGCCAGCTTTAGGAGGTTAAACTGAGGGGTATCCACACTGGGAACCCTAGTGTGGCTGGAGTTTAATAGAGGCTGAGGCGTTAGAATGTTATGGGGTTTGCACTGGCATGAAGTTCTTGCATAAATACCATCACTCTGTTTCTGGCTGGCCTGAAAATTCCACTGCATTCCAGTCAATAGACATAGACCAGGTGGGTGGGTGGGTTTGGGGGGTTTGTTTCTTTGCTTTGGGATTTTTTCCTTTCTATTTTATTTGGTCCAGTGCTATACTAGAGAAATAACTTGGTCTCCCGAGTCCTGGAGTGAGCTGGGAAGCTCTAGCTAGTGCAGAGCACTGCTGTTTCTCCACAGTGGTGTGATGCACCAATCTCACATTTCCTAGTTAACTGTGGCAAGATGTTTTGATCCTATTCAATATTCTCATCTTTCTCCACCAGGAAAGGTCCCAGGTTACTTAAGGTTTAACTGAAAGTTCCATACTTGGATCCCAGGTTACTTTAAGTTCCGTATGTATCCTGGAGTAAGGACTGCAGGTGACAGCTGGATTTGTGGCATGCTGGAATTCTCCACAATACAGGTAAAGTAGTTATTTGCCAGGTACAGATGTTTTTTCAGAGGCTGGTGTTGAACAGTGAAATGGAATCTGTGACGAATTCGGGACCTCAAGGAACTTATTTCAAGTAAACCAGCATTTTTTGATGCAGCTTTCCTCCAATACGTAAAGAAAACAGTTGTATGAAATATATAGAGCAAAACCTTTTGTACACTCCAGCACTTAAATTCTCTTCCCTTGGGAACATGTAAGAACATTTGGACAGCTCTTAATCACTTTTGTTGATTCACTGCTTTGAGGATGTGCATCCAGCGTTGATGCACACTGTGTTTTGAGTAACACAATGTCAGGAGTTCAGCTGAAACCTGGGCTTTTCTGGTGGCATGTGGAAGTTGAAGGAATTGCTTTTGCTGTGCTCTGTTGGGGGCGGGTAAATCCTTTAGTTGCAGTAAGATCCTCGAAGGAGTGAACTTGTGGAGCGGTGGCGGGTTCTCCACAACCACCAGTTCGCACCACACTTGTTCAGGCAAATCCAGGAGAGCTTGAAGTGAGCAGGGAACAGTTACGTGTGCAGAGAAGTGCCTGATCGTGGGTGTACATCAAGTGACAGACAAAGACCTGGCTCCTCTTCCTCTTTTAGCACTGGTTTGGCCTTGGGCAAGCCACACTGGATGGGGGAGGAGATTCAATGTAGCATGTTATAACTGAGTTCATGCAGAGGGTCTCCTGCGTGTGTCAGTGCTAAGGTGAAGCAGAAGCAGATGGTGACATGTGTCAGGTGTAGTCAGCCTATTTTCCAGGTGCATCGTGGTGTGATTCACCAAAAACAATGTTCTGTTGCCAAACACTTGCTTAGGAGAGAGCTTTTGTTCTGCAGGCTTTGGGTTTTTCACTGTTGATGGGTTTGGCTGTATGGAAATGTGAAATGATGAGATTTAATAAAGTACACCATTAGCTATTCAGTGTCCATTTCCATCTGGTCACTTTGAAGCAGAATGCTCTTTGCAGCTGCTAAAATCCTGAAGGCTGTGGTTGGGTTTGATCTGTTTCACATGGAGCCGGTTTTACCTTTTGCTGGGAGATCACCATCAGCTCCTTTGGGTTTCCAAATGTTTAAAGTAAACCAGGCTCAATGGCAAGCCTTGGCTTTTGTGGGATCCGTGTGACTTTGGGAAAGCCTCAGCAAAGCTGCGTACTGCAAACCACAAGGTGGGACAGCTGGGAGGAGCTGGAGTAAACGGAGTCATTTCTCCCTGCAGGTGCCTGCATCTCATCCTTCAGCCTCGGCAGCAGCGTCCTTGACTTGCTGTTTTGTTCTGTGTTACAGAGATACTTGGAGCCATGTGGCCGTGCCTGTGCTGAGGTTTCCCCCTGGCAGGATGAACCCCTCTGGTTTCACGCTTAACTACATTCAAAGACTGAGTCAAATTATCTAATCATCTTAAGAGGCAAATGGAGTATTTAGCATTATCAGTAGTTAGTTTCCTCCCAATCCTTTTTTTGTGGGGGGGAGAGGAAGGGCCATGGAAGCGGGGAGGAGGTGGGGAAAACTGGCAGAGAGGACATGAAGTGAATTCTGGTTGGTGGGAGGATTTTTCCCCTCCTCAGCAAGCTCAGCCTTTATCAGCTTCAAGTTCCGTGCGTACCTCTGAGGTACAGGGGAGGACCCGTGTTTTAAACTGGAACACAGATTTATTCTCTGATTTTCAGCAACCTGATTGATCTGAGCTGCAATGGAGCAACACTTGCATAAGCTAAGGAAGCTTGGAGCCCATTTGTATGCTAATGCCTCTTCACATCAGGTTTCTCTTCGGGGCTGGGCATAAACCCAAAGCGCTGCCGGATCAAAACCGACTCAGGAATACGTAGTTTCTTAGTTTAACCTTGGGCAAACCGTTTTGGCACCTCATCATTCATTTACGCGGCCTGGGAGTGCTTTTCCAGTACAGCCCTTTGTAATGGGGGTGGCAGGTTTGGTTCTTTATGCAGAGGTGGTTTGCTCCATAGTTTTGCATTTGAAATCCTGAGGAAATGGGACAATTGCAAGAGTTTTCTTGGCCTTTGATATGGTACCAGCTCTGGGTGGTGGAGGAATGTGGTATTTTCCTCAGCCAGGTGCATGTTCATGAGTTTCTGCCTGGTCTGTGCTTTAAGGCTGTACAACGCTGCTGTTCTTTAATTAGAAAATGGGCAGAGATGCTGGTGTTTACATGGACGCAGATAATTCAGTGTGTTCAAAGCAGCTCACCCTGCTGCCACGGGCTGCCCTGGTTGAATATCCCCATTAGCCCCCTGGGTACCAAGGCCGGGGCTGTGCTCCTTGTCCCTCAGAGGACGAGGCTGTTGGCTGTCCTCACACTTCACACCACATGTAACAGCTGTTGAGCCCGTGCAGCTTCCATCCCTCCTTGGTTTGGGCACGTAGGAGCCCGTAGCTCAGGAGCTCCCATGTTCCAGCACCGCAGCAGAGGGCCGGATCTCTGCCTGGAGAAGCCCGTTCCCTTCTGTGTGGTCATGCAACAACTGACATCATTCCAAGTTCTCCAGTGCAGTCACAACCCAGCGGCTGATGCTTCCCCCCTTTTCCTTCAGCTCCAGGTCTGTCGTTGGGAAGTCTCTGAGCTGTTGTGGTGAGGAGCCGTGTTTGATTCCTTGTGTGAACCAGTCCCACCCAACACGGGAGCCAGTTTCGTGTCAGAGTCTGGCTGGTGCTTTGGGGGAAGCAGATGTGGAAGTCGCTTGCTCGGGAATGTGGAGAGGTTTTGTGTGCTGCCATTTCCATGGAAACGGGTACGGGCTCGGCACAGGGACCTCAATCCCATTTATAAACCAAAACCTGACACGTTCAGCACTTTCACTCATGAACACAGCCAGTGGTGCTGAGCAGAGCCTGGCCCTTGGCTGGGTACCCTCATGAGAGTCAGCAGAGCAGTGACTGTTTCAAACTAATGCTTTTAAAGGTGAGGTGGTGTTTGTTCACCCTCTGTTAGAGAAACAGGCATTGGTTGGGTTGTGTTCAACACATGCTGTTCTGCACTATCACACTTGTGTCACCTCTTCAGGCCTCCACCCCCCTCAAAGGAGGGGCAGTAGGGGTTGGGTGAGAACTGTGGTAATGGCTCCACGTGTGAAGAACTGTTAAGTGGCTCCTGAGCACAGATGGATCACTGGGTGGCCGCAGCCCTTAGCACCAAGTGGAAAGAAGCAAGCCCTACTTCTGGGGGCTACTTTGCCTCTGGGGACACTTGCTTTAGGAAGAGCTCACCTACAGCCAAAGAGGTTATCCCCATTCAAGCATCACTACAGCACTCACAAATAGGGTTAAGCTAGCAGGATTTTGCACAGGAACAACTCTGACCTGGAGGATGAGGAGCTCCTGAAGGATGAAGGTGCCTGGCTGTGGTCCTGCACCTTCAGCGTGATGGTTCAGATGGTGTCTTCCAGCTCAAGCAGTGCCCAGATGCTGCTCCTCACTGAAGCAAGCACCCTGATGCTCTGGAGCCATGGTCCCAGCTTTTGGAAGCAGGCACAGTGGAAGGAGGAGGGCAGTGAGGAACTGCTGGAGGAGCCCCGGGAAGGACAAGGTGGGACAGGGCTGGCTGGGGGAAGAAGGAGCAAGAGCCATGAGGAAGCCACCTACAGCCACCCCGAGCACGGAGTGTTGCTCAACACAGTCTGGCCCCTTCCCAAAAGAACACAGAATTGGCTTTTTTTACCAAAGTGGAATTTGACAGAACAATTCCCCTTAGAAATAAAATTCTTTAAGCACTGCATCACCGAATAACGAAGGGTAAAGTGCTTGGTCACCTAAATTGGATTCCTTAAAAGGATACCCACCGAGATCAAGCTGCTTCTATAGGGGCTGTGCTAATGCCAGATACTTCCCAAAACACAGAGGCAGAGCAGCTGCTGCTGGAGGAGCTCAGTGCTTGTGGAAAGGGAAGCGGTAGCACTCACCCCTTGTGAACCTTCACTGAGCCTGGGGGTGCATCATCAGCCACCCTCCTTCTGCTCTCCAAGGAGGCACCGACCATGGCAGAGGTGAAATCTTCTTCCAAGACAAATGTTTGTGTGTCACCTTCATGTCTCTGTATTGCCCCTTCCTTGGCTGATCATGAAATAAGCCATAAAACTGTATCAGTTTCTCAAACAAAGAACGGAGAAACCCACAAAGTGTAGGAGTTGAGGCCAGGCATCCCCCTGGGCCAGGGTCAGGCTGTTTCACCAGCTTCAAATACTATGAAAAAAAACAATTTCTTGGTTTGCCCAACCAGTTCTGACCTGTAAGTACGCCCAGACCCAGTGGGTGCATCGCAAGGCTGCTGCAGCAACCATTTCAGCGATGGAGGGGCAGGGGGTCAGCACAGGAAGCTAAGGATAAGTGTCCATTTTTATTGTCATTGACCTAAAGAAACAATGTGGGGCTTTTCTAAATATAAAGTAAGAGACAGCCTGGGGCAAGAAGACAAGAAAAGTTCTATGTAATAAACTGATTGTACATATAATAGTTATAGCAAAACTATAAGGATAAAATTCACCTGTTTGCCAACATCAGTTATCCAACAGCTTTGTCACTCTGCATCTTGTCCAGCAGTAACCAGGCTACAGAGAAAGTCGGAATGAACAGAATCACCTTAAGGATCCTTCCTGCCACTTACCACCTCGCTGAAGATGGTAAATGTACTAACCCAGGCCCCGAGCACCAAGGGACCACTGCTTGTGACACAGAAAAGGGGGGGGTCTGTTGTTTTCACAAGCCCCCCCTCAAGCAGAGTCAAAGGAATAACACAAAATGGGTTTAGTGTTCTAAGAGGCAAGCAGCTAAAAGCACCTCAGCTTCCACAAAGCCCAAAGTTAGTCCAACTGTAAAGAGTCAAAGAGAAACACCAGAAGCCTCACATACCTTAAACAATTTATTAGAACCCATAACTGTTGCTTTCATTAGAAGAATTCAAGTTAACACCTAATTCAGGGTGAAATTACATTGTAAGACAAAAAATAAATCATAGAGCTTAAATAGAGCATTTGCAGAAGGCTGCAGTTCCTGGAGCCCTGGCACAAGTTCCTGCTTCTCGTGGGGTTTTAGTAGGGGAGCTAATGCTGAGCAGGTTCAGTGTCTGGTTTTTGCACCATGCAGAGGGCTCTTCCCCATCTGCCTCCCAGAAGTGTGGAATGAAGAACTCGAGCCTCAAACAAAACCCCCTTGAGATGCCGTGCCAGAGGCTGAAAGGTTTTATTTCTTCTCTATGTGAAGCCAGGGTCAGAGATCCCTGCAGCCTAATAAAGAATTGTACAACCTGTGGCTTGTTGGAGGTTCACTGACGGGCACTGAGCAAACCTCAGCTGTGGCTCCAGATCAGAACCTGAGTACAGACAGACCGTCCACCCGCCCGGGTCCCGGGCCCCCTGTTCACAGTAGCCCTTTTGGAGAAGCAGGTTGGGTTCAGAACCTTAATTTCCACAGGTGCAGATCAACAGAATCATTCCCAGGAAATTCAGAAAGTGCTGGAACACAGAATACAAAACGTATTGAACTTGCAAACCTTCTGCTACAGCAAATCAAAACGTGGAACGTGGCAAACAGAGACCTGCATCAAAGCATTAAACTGCAAATTAACTCGTGTGACAACAGGATGGATGCTGCTGGACAGCAGGAGCACACACAACGTCCCTGCAGAGCCGCACAGACCTGCCCGCCTCTCCCTACCACAAGTGCTCTCTTTAGCACATCCACCCAGGTCTCCTACAAGCCCTGCTGCTTTATTTCTATCACCTTTTAAACCAAGCTATTACACAACTATTTCAGGCTGTTTCAAAGCACTGGAATTCTAATAACTGCTGCTTTCCAGCTCTAGCTATGAGATTTGGTCGCTGTGATCAGAACCGAGGTGGTTCGTGCTGCCAGGGAGCGGCACTTCCCTCGGATACATGGAGGAGGGAGCAGTTCTCGAAACATCCTGTTCTCATTCCCAACTGAGAGCTCACCTGCGGAACACAACACGGCACGCATGAGGAAGGTGGGAGTGCTGGCCCTCAGACAGGTACTGTAGAAAAGGAGTCCTTTGGCTGTACAGTGTTTCCACAGTGGATTTGTTACATGAGATACAAACTGTACAAGTTCTCCAGTTTACAAAGTTCTCTAAATGGCAGAAACAAGTCAGCCCGTATTTATAACGCCAGTTGGAAGCGTCAAGATTATTACAGAGAAGGAACAGTCTAAGTAATTGGCTCAATGTAACAACAAAAATGTAGTTTTAATACAATCTGCAATAGTACAACTATGCACATATGTACACAATGGCCTCCTGGTACTCGCTGACTGCTGAGTATGTGATGCTTTTTGTTACCAGCTCCCTTTAAGGTAAGGAACCCAAAGCAGGAATGGTTCAGTTCTGCAGCACGTCGGGTCCCACGGGTGCAGCCTTGTCCTGTCCCTGTTCACAGCTCACAGGACGCCGTCACTGAAGCGGGGCTTGCCATAGTCGAGGTCGTTCTGTAGGTCCCGTTCTTCATCATCTACAAATGAAGCACTCGGGTCAAACCTGATGTAATGCTACTGAAAAGACATCTAAGCAGCTACGGCATACATCCACACTGAGTGTGTGCCTGGGTTTGGGAATGAACTCACTGGGGAACACACAGAGAACACACATGAGCCTGGGGTGGCTGTCGGCTCCTGGGACAGCATCCTCAGCTCTACTGCTGCAACCCTGCTGCAGAGATGGAGTAACTCAGGAGGTGATGAAACAGTTTAAACTCACTGCTGTGATTTGAGAGTTTTCCTATGAGGATTTCAAACTCCCCCACTACAGCCCAGCTCCACGCTCAGCTGCTTTGCAAAGCTCCAGTAACACTTTTCAGCCCATTCTGGAGCTCAGGCTGGCACCTCATGTGCACCTCAGGGTGGTACCACCCCCTCCAGGCTACAGTGACACTGTTCCCACCCACTGCTCGGGCTGGACCACCGGTGCATCTTCCACTGCTGACTGGTGTCAGTGCTTCACACACCATCACCTCCCATCTCCCACCTCCAACCCGCGGGTGAGAGCTGGAGAAAGGCTTTTAAAAACAGGAACGGCAGCTCCCAGCCCCTTCCAGGCTCTTGCCAGTGAAATCCCTGTTCTCCCTCCCAGCACTGCTGAAGAACCAGCAACATGTTCTGCTCTTCACAGCTGGCCCAAGCCTACGCTGTGATACACACCTGACCCGCCAGGCAAGATGCCTCCTCTTGACCTGCAGAGTAGCTGCGTGCTCTGCTGGGAACACAGAGCAAGGCCAGTACGTTGCCTCTCCAGGCTGCCACATCCTTCAGCTCATCCTTACAATGGATTTACAGCTCTGTCCTGGATGGGAAGGGTGAAGATGCCCCATCCCTGGCAGTGCTCAAGGCCAGGTCGGACAGGGCTTGGAGCAGCCTTCTCTAGTGGAAGGTGTCCCTGCCCATGGCAGGGGTTGGAGCTGGAGGAGCTTTAAGGTCCCTTCCCACACAAACCAGGCTGGGAATCTCCAAGATGTTCCACCTTGTCTTTCAGATCCACACTGCCCATCTCTCCACCACTCTACTCTGCCCTGCTTCTTGATTTCTGCTCCTTGGATTTTTGTTTTTGAGCCTCATGAAAAACCATAAAGTTAAAACCCCCACCTGGTGCAGCCTCAGAACGCCCATTTCCTGCAGCACGTGCAAAAAATCCATCAGGGAAATGCACATTCAGTGTTTCTTCAAGTGAGGTTATAAAACACATTCTAATACTCTGCCCTCTACCTGCACTAACTCCACTCTGTCCCGAGTGGGTTCCAGCCTGCTTCCCCCAGGAACTGACCAAGCCCTTGTTTCCTTTCACAGCCCTTCCTGTGCTTCAGAGCTGGGCTGTGCCTTTACAGTCGCAAAGATGCTGGTTCACAGGAATGGAAAGCAAAGATCTCCCTCGGTGTGAAGCTGTCTGAAGCCCTTCAACGCTCTTACAACAACTATCCACCAGCCCCTGAGCGAGGTGGGCACCTCCTCCCAGCAGAGAGCCTGAAGCTTACCTACAAGATGTGCTGCTGTTCAGTGAGGAGCCACTCGCACAGCACAGGGCGTCACTTGATGCATGGACCGACTCCTCCCCTGCCCGGCCACCACAAACCACACTGACTACAGCAGAAGCCAACACTTCAAATCCCCGCAGGCAGGGGCAGGGATGGACACTGGGCTGCCAGGCTGGACACATCCCTCAGGTTTGTGTATTTGCCTCTCGTAACTTCAGCCCAAGGCCCACACATTTCTAGTGGCCACAGAAACCATGTTTGATGGAGCCGCTTTGTTTGCATGTGCCGGGTGCCTCGTTCCAGCCTGATGCAGAACCAGGTGATGTTTTCCTAATCATTTTTCGACAGGAATTGTTTCTTTCCTCCCCTACCCGAGTCCAACCCCCTCCTGAACCCCCTCCATGATCCCACCCTCACACACATCCCTGTGAAGAACAGACACTTCCCCTGACACACTGTCCCTGGAGGCACCTCTCCCTGCGCTGTGTGACTTGTGCCTTGGGACAAGTCAACAGCAAGTCATTAGGGAACAGCACAACAGAGGGCTTGGAAAGTTGGGTTTGAGGCAGTATCATGCACTGCTCAGACCACTGTTGGTTAAAAGGATTCCAGAAGTCACTCTGTCTTCACCACCAGGTACTAAACCATTGTCTCTGTACAGATACAGGGCAGGGGATCAAATAACAGGTTTTCACCAAGTCCAATCGTAAGGCCAGCCCAGCAGTGAGCTGACAAGTACCACATCTATGGGGAGCCTGCTCTACGAAGCCACTTTCATCAAGAGCTCTTATTTTTACAAACATCCCTTGCACAACAAGCTACATGAGCACAATCTCTGTGGTCTTTAACACTTTTCCTCCACTAATGCCTGTATCCTGCCCACCCTTTTGTACCTGGTATACAGGAACACTGTTCACATTGCTGGCAATAGCTGTAACACACATGGGATTAACTCTTGCTACCTAAAGCCCATAGTTTCCCCACGAAGGCCACTGTAGTGATGTCCTCATGCCAACAAGGACACGAGTGTGGAGCTCTGAGGCCTCCTCCTGCCTCTTCCCATACTCCTGGTAAAGACAGGCCCAAGGGCTGACTAAGGCAGCTGGTAGAAGTTGGGAGAGCTTCAGGAACAGTTCCCTGGCCTTGGTTAAGTGCCAAGAGTTGTCTTGTGAAGTCCAGTTAAGGAGCCGGTGAGGAGCAGAGCATCACCCCCTGCTCACCAAGGGGAACTGACCTAAACCTGAAGCATCCAAGCCACCGGCTACTGCAATGTGCAGGGCAGAGCTTGGACACACAGACACGCAGTGACCACCCTTGCCAGTGACACGACCGTAACCACTGCTTGAGGGTAACACCAGAATGCACTGCTAGCTCAGAGCAGAGTGTAACAGCAGCAGCACAGGTCTCATTTCTATCACCAAGTGCACTAATTGCCCTGGTTCTGATCCACACTTTCCTTTTGCTTGCTCATGAGTTTCAAACCACCAGCCTGGCCAAAAACCCGCTTACACTGCACAGCTTAATGCGTGCCCACAGAAATCAGGTGCTTTGTACCAGCTTTCCCCATTAATTATGCTTGGACAGCAACTGAATACGTGTCTGAAACACTACCATGAGAAACTGCATTACGAGGATAAAAATCAGGATGCCCACAGAACATCAGTCAGGGTTTGGGGAGGGGAGTGGGGGGTTCCCCTCTATTTTGCACTCAATGGAAAAAACTATATATGCTTATGGAAATGTTTTCCCCTCCAGACATGCAAACCTCTCACAGACTGTGACCAACAATAGGTGGAGGATGGCAGAGAGCATGGCGGGTCCACAGCACACAGCGATGGAGGTGATGCTCAGCAGCGCATGCAGAGGTGGTGACATGCACGGGTGGGTGTTAGGCTGCAGCGGGTCAGCCGCTCGCAGGGTGGGTTAGGAGGAAAGCAGGAGCTGTTGAATCTGTGTACAAGGCACAAAGATCACACTGGGGATCCCCAGCTGAGACCTTGCTGTGTACGGCCTCAGGGTGGATACGACAAAAGGAGTAGTCACAAAAACGACACTTCTGTGTTTGAAATGGCTTTAGGAGCATCCAAGGCTGCATCCCAGGGAGGTGGGAACCACATCTGGGAAATCTGAGTGTCTTGACTCTCCAGCAGAAGCTGCACAACCAAAATAAGGTACTAGAAGCCTCTCACTGCCCACAGCCAGAGCGTCGCTCTCAAGCACGAGCAGGACCAAATTGAAGGATTGCCTAAAGCCCATTCATTTCATATGGGAAGTTTGTGATCAGGTCAATGTAGAAAGGCTTTACACAAATTCAACAAGGAAACTCAGAATGGATTTTGTCACAATGGGATGGAGGTAAGGCCCAAGCTCACCTTGGACGTCTTCTTCTCCACCATCACCATCCTCTTCCTCATTGTAAGCCAGCTCAGCCTGTTTGTCTGCCTCATACTCACCCACGTTACCATCATCCCCATTATAATCTGCCAGTTTAGAACCCTGCTGCGGATCAACAGGGGACTCATTCTCATCAAAGAATCGGCCTGTGAAGTAGGCAAAGGATTAAGTCAGAAGCAGAGAGAAAAGAAACAGGGAGACTCTAAATGAAAGCAGACGGCAGGTTAGGAGAGGGCTGGGGTAGCTTCAGCTGGAGGAGGAAGGGGGACAGGGGAGAAGCAAGTCCTGGAATATCTCCATGCTGAGTCCCTCAGCATTTGGCTCATTACAAGCTTCGCTCTCAGAGGCAAGGGCTGGAGTAAGAGCCCAAACAAAACCTCCACCTTCCATTACCCAAACGCCAGCACAAGTTCTCTGAACACGCTGAAGAGCAGACACAGGGGGTTGTACCCAGGCTTTATGTCTGAGGACCACCAGCATTTTCCTACTTACAGCAGAGCAACAGACTGCAGACCCTGTATGCGGGTCCCTCTGCTGAGCACACACCACACCATCAAGGCTGAAACCCCAGCAAAGCTCTGCCTGGTGCCTCTGAAGTGACTGGTTTTAAGTACCTAATTGATTTGGCTTTACACTGGGGTTTCCTATTAGGCTTCAACAGTTTCCAAAATGTTCTGAATCCAGTATTTTTGTCTCCCAACAAAGAATTAAGAATAGTTCCAGACACTGAAACAATGCACAAAAAGCCACAAGAATTAGCTGGAGCTCCGCAACGACGAGAGAGTCGCCCAAGCACACAATGAAAGATTAATGGTGTGATGTCAAGTTCAGAGCTGGTGGTTAATGGGGTACAAGCAGATCTGTTCAAGTCAACGCAGTTCACTCTGCGTGCCCGTCGCTTCAGGAATGTGACAGTGGGCCTGCAGAGGATCCAAGTGCAGAGGGATGATGTGGAAATGAAACAACAGGATTAAAGTGCGATACAATCGTTACAGGCTGGAAAGGGACTGAGAACACACTCTGAGGGGCAGATGTTAAGCAGTTCACAGTGGAAGCAATTAAAGAGGGAATTAAAGCTGAAGGACATGAGTTTAGCACCAGGATTAAAGAGAGGTTGGGGTTGCAATGGACAGATGTAAAACTGAAATGATTTCTTAATGAAAACTCTCCGTGTGGCAGCCCACAAAGCCCAGGACAGAACCAGTAACACCCTGCTGTCTGGATGGGGAGGAAAAGCAGAGGAATCGCATCTGGTGAGGCTCGGGTGTACAGAAACAGGAATTAGTTATTTTCACAAACTAGAAGAAACTATGATCTGCTTAGAAATGAGAAGTGTAGCGTCTTATTCTCTGTTCATCCCCAGCCGAGTAATCCTTGCTGTTTGTATTTTTGGCCACTACATCCTATATAAAAAGCAGACAGAACTGTACAACTCACACATGTCAAATATAAAACAAGCCATGGAAGACACCCAAGTGCACTGAAAAACAGTGTGCCCAGCTCTGCACCTCGAAATCAAAATTTAAAAGGAAAACACATTTTGGGAAGAAATTCCCTGATTCTGAAAGCAGGGAGGTAGGACAGATCCCCTGAGCACTGCTTACTGGTCCATGGGCTGGGTGCACAACAAGGTCTGAAGCATTCAGTAACCAACACCCAGCCAGGTAATCACCCCCAGTGGAAGCTGTGTGCCAGACTGGGCTCCTCCACACGAGGGGCATGGATGTGGCACTGATGGACCTTTCCAAACAGCCACTGCCGACCCCTGGGAAATAAATCTGCCACAAACCTGGAGCAGCTATTTGAATGGGTGATAAAGTTTCTCCCTCACTGCATAGTTACATCGAAGCTACTCCAAATATGAAGGAGCAAAGAGAAAAGGAAATGTGATGATAACCGACTTGCAGCCTGCAGTGGAGCCATCCCACTCGCTGCTCCTGCCTGCAAAGCCAGGTCCCTTCATTCCCCCTTTCCCGGGGAGGACAGCACATCCATTTGAACACCCCAACCACTGAAACACGAGGCTCTGTCACTTCAGCTGTGGGCACCTGGCAAGCACAGGGTCTTCAAGCAGCTCCTTGGATAAAACTGTGTTGTACATCTCAGGATACAGGGTGGAAGCACAGCTTGCCAGGTTGCACATCAGTTTGGAATACCCCTATCCCCGCTTCAACAGAACATCCATGAGGGATATTAAAATCCCTGAAGCCTTCCCAAAAGATCTGTTTCTGAAAGACAACAGTAAATTGATGCCTGTTCCCTACCTCTTCAGCCCTTTGCTTTTCAGAGCTTTTTCCCCTCTCATACTAAACCCTGTTTTTTTCTCTCCCCTGAATTCCTTCCAGCTTCCCATCATCTTTGATATTTAAAGCCAGAGGCTGGCCTAGGTAAAACAGAGTTAGCTACTGCATCTCATCATCCTGACATCCTGTTATCACATCCCAGGGGAAAACCTCACTTCAAACGTTTGTTAGTGACCAACACCCACTGTTGCCCACATCGGTTTGCCCGAACTGCATCACTCACTCTGGGCAGGAACTTCCCTGTTCTTGATTGCAGACTGCTTCATGTTCACCAGCTTTTATGTTGTGAAGCTGCATCTCCTACATCGGTGGTCATCCAGCACTCAAAATACCAACCACCACCAAGCAGAGGATGCACCTTTGTGAACCTCACAGAAGCTTTGCAAATAAAACCATTAGCAATACCTATGCCTGGAACAGTCTTTTGTGCACCCACCAAATAGTGGTTTATTCCTGACCAGGTCTCCATTCATCTGCCTACAACAAAGCCAGGTTCCTGCTTTTGCTGCTCTCTTTCCTTTGAGGACACACTTTCAGATCCCTTCCCTTGGTCACAGTCTGTTCCTGAGAAATCCGTGCTAACCACTTGTCATGTTTAAACTGATGGAGGGCTTGTTCTGGTGCCTTTCCAGGCCTCAGAGCTGCTGGGTCTCTGGAATTCCTCACATCCTCCCTCCATTCACGTTCTAAAGATGTCTTTCTGAGAGAGGTACCATCACACTACAGAGTTGTTCATGGTTCAGAAGCCATTCCAGGTGGGCTCTTAAACCTCTCAGGCACTTTCAGTTATCTACAGGTTTACTCTAAGGAAGGGAACTGCCCAAGCTAAAACTTGTGACAGAAGTGAATTCACAATTTCATGTCCCCAAGAGTGACTCCAGCTTCCAGAATCCTCTTCACTGGTCACTGAAACCAGTTCAGGATTCTACTTCACCAAAACCACTATTTCTGTACCACTGTGTATCTGATCCACAGCATTCATACATGCCTCTGTTGTGAGAAAAGGATTCTGTAGCCTCCTAATTCTCATGGCTCTGAGGATGCTGCTTTGATGTAACAACCTGCCATCTTGGAGTACAGCATGATTTTAATAATAGAAACCAAAGCCTAAATGGAAACTACTTAGCTGTGAGCACAAAGAAGTGTAAAGTTGAATTTATAATAGCTATAGAAAGAAAAATCTTATTTGGCTTTAAAAAAAAAACAACAAAACAACCCAAAAAGATTTTTCGGCATAGGGGTTTTTTCTTCCAAGTTCCCCTTCCTCACCCAAATGCTTAACAATCAGAATTAGTCCTTTTAAAATAACTAGGTTACAGTACACCCAGTCAGAATACTCTATACTATACTCTATACTAATACTTAGGAGTGTTGTATCTCCACTGATACCATAGGAAACTTCAGTGTGACGTTCCCACAGGAAGATGCTGTAGGTGTAATACTCTCCCGGTGTTATGACAGAGACATCTCACAGCTGTGCATGGCTGTGCAATTCTTACCTGCTGCCTGCCCACTAAGCCTCAGCAGCATCACCACCATCACACACAACACACACATGATTTGGTCCTGTCTATCAGCTCCTTCCTTGAACAGGCACGGAAGAGAAGGGTTCTGGAAGACTTCTCACAGAGAAGGACAAACCTCTGGCCAGTACAAATGCACCACCCAAAGACCCTCTATATAAGGGCTGAACTCTTACGATACTGTCCAAAACTTCATTTAAGTAATAGTGTGAATATAAGTAACTATCATACATGTGTCAAAGGTTTTGACTTAATCTATTTAAATGTGTAGTAACTTCCAAAAGCATTTGTAATTCCTGTAAGCAAATATTTTTCTTAATGCCTGAATACAGATCCATATATATATATATATATATATATATATATATGAAAGATGCCTCATTAAGGTGTATCTTTTACACACTAGCACATTACATTTCAGGCTTACTCTCCAGAAGACCACCTGCTGTAATGGTTCCCACTTCCCAGACACGCACTATTACAGACAGAAACTGAAGTGATTTTACTCTATTGAAGCATATGATATTAGCAACTTACTTTGCTTCATCTTCTGCAAGTCACTGACTCTGCTCTTTGGGATTTTGATATGGTCTGTCTCAATTTTGTGTTCCTTCTGGCCTTCCATGGTTTCTTCAAAATTCAAGTGCTGGAGAGAATTGGGAGGGATCTGCTTGACAATGTCTGCGTTTCCATCAGCATCACTGCGCACACCTACAGAGCAAGGAAGCATGTTCAGTTTTACGTGGTTCCAAATGCAGGCTGTAAAGCTACTGCAAAAGAGAATTCCTCACAGTTAACACACAATCAATCCAAGTCGTCACCTTCTCAGGTGATTTTCTGTATGTACTTAAGTGCTTGATGAAGCCCAGAACAATAATATGTTCATGTATTTCTTTATTCTCCTGGTAAAATTCAGCTTTTCAAGTCTACTGAGCATCATTTCTTGCTTCAGAGCTATGATATGAGAAGAAGCTTGCAGAAGGTCACAGCAGTTATGCTGCAAATAATAACTATAATAACACATAACCAAGGAGTACAGAAAGCCCTGGTACCCCCTGAAATCCCCATCAACCTGCTGCTGCTGAACTGCAAGTTTCCTTCAGCAAGCTTTTCACTTGCTGTCTTTAATGTTTCCTCATTAATCAAAGTCAAAAAGCACTGCCTCAGAACAACAGGAAAGGAACTATTTAAAAGATCTGACATTTAGAAATAATAAACTCTAAAAACGTACAGAGGCTTCGAGCTCACCAGTTCTGGTGCTCTCATCTGCTTATGCAGCCACTGCCAAGGGAAAGAAATTCAGAAATGCTTCTGCTGCCCCTTTTTCCAAAGGGCCCAAGGATGGGCATAATAAACTTGAAGCTGTTTGCTGTGTCACACACATGTAACAAGCATGTTACACTGAATGGCTGTTAGCAGGGCAGTATTTGAACTTGCCAAAGGTGCAGATAGACTCTAACCTTATCTTTGACATTAAAGCAAAGTGACTTGATCCACAAGCATTAAATTTCAGTGTATTTTATATGGATTCATGCCCTTTCTAACTGCAATTCTTCCAACCCGTCACCGCAGTACTTTTAATTCTCTCATATCCTAACTCTCCCCCAGTCACCCTCAAGTGAGCTGCTCACAGGAGCAGGAGGACATTGAGCAACTTAACCACTGTTTAATCTCCAAACAGAACAGGCTACCAACAGATCTACAATCAACTCCCGGTGATGTGTTGCAGCCCTGGGTAATGAGTACCCCCAAGGGGAGATACCAATTTCAATTACTCTCCTCTGCCCAGTGCAGAAATCTTGAAGCACTTCTCTTTGAAACTTGTAACTCTCTCATTTGGCTGAAGTTGGTCAAAAGACTCAGAAATTAATGGGGGATGGATAAAAAGATCACAGAACCTCAGTGCCACAGGAAGCCAGACTAAGGACACGTGCAGCCTTGTATCCTGCAGAGACTGATCATTGGCTTGCTTTTTGCAAGCACATCAAACACCACGAAGGGTCTGGCTATGCACATCTGACACTCAGGGCAGCAGACATTAACAGTGGGTTTCCTATAAAATGCTGACTTGCCACCTGCTAGAAAGATCTTTACCTGGTGCCAGATTTGGAGCATGAGGCTGCTCAGTTGGAAGATTTAACACAGGTTGATGAGCTTCACTTTTAGGAGCTGAAATGAGTGGCTTCTTTAAAGCTAAAACAAAATGCAAGGACAAAAGCATGAAACAGGCAGTGTATACCAGATCTTCCCCTAACAACCCTGCCAACTTTGTTGTTGTTTTCTTGGTTTTAAGCCATAGATTACAATATAAAAGACAAGATTTCTGGGACAAAAATAATGAAGTTATCAGCATTCAGCTGAGACCTCAAACCTCAAAAGCACAGTAAAAATTACCCCATTTTACACCCCACTTGAATATTATTACCATAGAGAAATTTTAAAACTTTGCTTTCACTATGAAACACATGGTATTCAAACAGAATATATACAACACCAAGAACCCAAATGTGAAAGTATGAGAATACTTCTAACCAGTGGGAGTGTCTTCAGCTTTAGCAGGGTCATTATCCTCTATTTCAGGCATTCCTGCATCTCCTCCTGGTTTGATTTTCTCTGTAAGACAAGAATAGAATAGGCTGCCTTATTAACAGTCAATCTCCCTCTTGTGGAAGACTCTAGGACCAGGAGAAAAGTCCTTTATCCACAGAATGCATCCGATATTGATAACACAGCTACAATACTCCTTGTGCTGCACTGCAGACTGCTCTGGAGCAGCACTCCCAAAATCAGTGCAGTCTCCAGAAAAGGATGGGAAACAGACGTACTGCTCTTGGGAGCTGAGGTCAGAAAGCCTGCTGCAAGAAGCTGACTGGAACAGACACTGAACTGATACCAAAATGTGCTGATTCAGCAGCACAAGAAGTAGAAACAGAGGGAACCCCCATCTGTCTTTTAACGAGGCCTTCAGGGAGGACACAACCACACTAATTACTCATTAGGAGCCTTCTGTACAGCTGCTGATAACCAGAGGTTCCCACTGTTCCTCCCAGCTAGACATTGCTCAGTGGTTTCAAGGCTTCTCACCCCCAGCCACCAGCTCTCCAACAGGATGCTCCTTCCCTGGCTCACCCCGAGATAATTCACTGTTCTACTTCAGAGAAATGCAGGATTCTGTATGAGGACACCACAGACTGGCTCATTATCCATCAGAAATAACAAACCTAACAGATACCTTTGCCATTTACAACGTGATCTGAAGGCTGCTCATTCTTTACTGTGTTTTTATCCTCTGTCTCTGGAACAGTCTTAGGTATCGGCTGGTCATCATTATTGGGACTTACTTCAGTGTCTTTACTGGACTGAATTTTTTGTGTGTCCTGTTAAAACGAATTCAGAAGGAACCAGCATTAAACACACCCCTGAAAATGACAAACCAAACACCCTCAAATTCAGGATTACTTTAGGTTGCAAAACAGCATTTCTGAATGACATGATCACCAAAGTGACCAACAGCAGAATTCCTCCACCTACAAACCCAACTCCTGGAGTAGGAGATGACAGGATGGACACAGGACACAAAATGTGAAATAAAGCAGGGCTGTGAGACATTTATATTGGTGTATGTGGCTCAAGTGTAAAACAAACAGGTTAAGGTGTCACTGGCCTTGAGCCTCAGATCAGAGACTCTGAAACTATTCTAGATTTTAAGACTGAAATCTACTTTAACTTTACCTTATCGTTGCCTGTTTGTAAACAGAGACAAGTAAGGAAACTAGATTTAAAGAAAAGCAGGTTATTTCATCTGCTTGTAGGAAAGAGGCCCGTGTTCTAGTGGCAGCTTGCACCACATAATTACACCCCTGATACCATTCAAACGCCATTGTTATTTGCATCACATTAGCACCTCAAGGCCTCAACAGAGATCAGGTTCCCCTTTGCAGTAATCTATACAAGGCTGTAAGGACACGGATCCTGCCCTAGAGAGCTGTAAAGTAATATCCATTTTACAGAGAAGAAACTGAAATCCTTCACAATGATGTCATGTAGGAAGGCTGCAGCAGAGCAAGGAATTAAGCCCCATCTCCAAGGCTCAGTTCACTGACAGCAGAACAGGCAGATGTGTGTACTCTGATACTCATTTAGGGCTGCTCAGGAACATACTTAACCAAAAGGTAGGGAAGAAATGTCCAAAGCCTCCACATATCTGCAATGCTCAGTCAAACAAACAGGACATCAGACTCTAACCCAACAAAACTTTGCTGTGCATTACCTTCTGTTCCCGCATAACTTGGTCCATTAATTTCTTGATGTTTTCTTCATGCTGCAGTCTCATTTCCTTGATCTGCTGCCCACACTGCAGACTTGATTAGAAACACATTGTTAGTTACATTTCATTTGTTGCATCTGCTCTCCCATAAATAAAATAAGGGGAAAAATATGAAGCGGCACAGAAAGCCAAACCTGAGTTAGAACAAGAATAGTGTCCAAACAGTCTTGCCCTGGAATGGAGTGGAAATGGACTGAATACAGAAAGAAAGCAGAACTGGATAAAAACAGGGACAGAGCAGTAAAACAGGAAAAGAAACAGAAGGGCCTCGAATGTGTCTCCAAACCCTGGAAAGCAACGGGAAAGTCGAACTCCACAGTTAACCTGTCAGCACACATTAACTCCTCCAGGAAAGCAAGATCTCCCCTCATGGCTCTCAGCAAAGAAGATGCACAACTACCACTATCAGTTACTGATACCAACTCAAATAACAGGATCTGGATGACACAGCTCAGGATCCCAACTTTTCCAATGAGCCACATCACCATCAACCCAATTCAACAAAACTCCTGTCTCCCACAAACCCACTAATACTCAACACCAAAGAGTAAAGAATAAAGAATACAAATAAAGGCTGAGGTCAGCTTCAAATTCCAATCTACACAATGCTGTCTACTTCAGTGAAAGAAATAAAATTACACTCCTAGAGCTGTGTCCTAGAGAATCATAGAACACTCAACTGGACTCCTCCAAGCATTTGCTAACCAAGATCTCCAACTTAAAAAAAAAAATGCATTGACTTAAAATTGTCCAATGCTGAACAACTCCAGTAAGTGAGCTTTTTCTTGGATCATGAGTCACTTCAGGGGGAGGAGCAGAACACCACGAGAAATAGAACTCTGAAATCAACCAACCAGCTAAGTCACGGTCACATCACCAAGTGAGCACACGCGAGTTCGAGGATTAGCAGAAACAGCATTAATTTGCACTTTTACTAAGCACAGACTTCCACTACACACACAGAAACCCACAGTTACCACCGTTCTTGAAGGCCTACCTGTCATACTCCAGCCTCCTTGCAAGGTACGTGTTGTTCTTCTTGTACTCGTGCAGCTGATCCTCCTGGCGAATGAATTCCTGACGCAGCTCTGCCAGTTGTTCTAGAGCAAACAGCAAAAACCAACACGAAACAGAAAGAGAAGAAGCTACAACTGGCAGTATTGCCAAGTAAGTTAAAAACATGCTCAAGCTTTATGTTATTCCTTCTAGATATACTTTAAAGATCCTTTAAGTAACTTGACAAAGATGCCAATTTACTCGTGTTTGCCAGATGTCAGTGTGAATTACAGAACAATTCTCATACCATGCCAAAACCCCTAAGTTTTTCTTTACCTTTTCACTCAGAAGACTCACACAATGCTAGTTCACCCATCTGTTGGAAATCTCCTTAATTTCCTGAAAGATTCTGCCATTCTGAGTGACACAGAAGTACTACTAGGTTGGTGATGATGAAATATTCTTCTGCTGCAGAAAGTGTACAACAGAAGGTACCTTCACACTACCCATAAAGCCAATACGTATTTCCTGTCTTCACAGTTGTTCTGGAAGTTCCTCTCCCTGCTCCTCAGGCTACAAATAATTGTCATGCTTCCTGCTATTTTAAGTAGCACCTCCAGAGACAGAGGCAGAAGTGCCAAGTATGTTGTCTGCAGGCGTGTTCGAAGTTTGGCATCAGCTGCTCGAGGTCACTCTGAAACCCACACAGGAGCATTGCAGGCACTGTCATCATGGCTGCATAGAACAGCCCCAGCAGATGTTTTCTGGACCTTTTCTAACTCAAACGTTGAGTATCACAATGCTGTTGATCCAAACTGGGCTGAACTGTGTATTTGGTCATGAAAATTATTCTAGTCTCTTGGAAGCGAGCAGTGTCAGAACATGTTCTTTCTGCAGACAGTAGAGCAAAAGCCAACCTTTTGCTTATCCAGAGTAGGCAATAAACACATATAGTGACATTTCATAGAATGGTTGGGTTGAAGGGACCTTAAAGCTCATCCAGCTCCAACCCCCTGCCATGGGCAGGGACACCTGCCACTACAGCAGCTTGCTCCAAGCCCCGTCCAGCCTGGCCTTGAACACTGCCAGGGATGGGGCATTTCACTTTATACAATGCTCCAGCACCACTTGGTCTCTCATTTAAGATGTTTTCGGCAGTACCCAGGCAGTGAAAACACACAACTTCCCAGCCTGCCAAACCACCGTTGAGCCACGAGCTCCTTACCCTTCAAACGATGTATGTCTGCCATCTGATAGGATATGTTGTTCTGCAGCTTAATCTGAAAGGAAGAAACAGTGGTGTAAGTACAGAGCATCAGCAGGTCAGAGGCTGAAGGCTCAGGCATGTTTGTTTGCTTTGTAAAGACATTGTACATAAAGGATTATCAGAATGACGTGTGGAGCTCCTGTAAACACAAGGGATGTATATTTAGTTACCTGTAAGTGATACCAGCAACCTGAGCGCTGTCTTTAGGCCTTGCTAACAAGGACTTCAATTGATTTCCAGAACGTATTTCTATCCAAAAAAGCCCATTCTGTCAGCACTAAAGAAGCACACTGCATCCTGACACTGCAGGAGGCCTCGGAGCATCCCCAGTGTCAAAGGCAAGGGTATAAAAATAAGCAGAGCATCAGCAGCACAGCCACTCTTTACCTAATGGCTATTTAAAGTAAATCAGTGATGTGATGCTACCAAATATTCACCACACACGCTTTATTTTTGAGAGGGAATCCGACACCACAGCCTTCCACACCAGCTTTTCATTGGGTATTTTTAGTAAGGAAATAAATAGTTACAAGAAATGAGAAATGCATGTGCATTAAGTAAAGATGATTTGCCTTGTTCTTACACAAAGACAGCAGAAACAAAGAGAAAGATGCACATGCAGAACATACTGAGAAAGGATGAAAAACCCCACAACTCATCAGGCAACACTGATGCTGTAATTCTTTCTCTTGCAGCTTCGTGATCGATGTAAGCAGTAACTCTAGAAAGGGAGCTGAAACAGGGCTGTGACTCTCAGGTTGCAAGGTCAGAACTACCTCTTGAATAGCAAACTGAGGCACAAGCAGCCCTGCTCTGGCATGGGACATACTCAGGCTACTGCAATTCCCACAGGGATCCTGAAGCTCAGTGGCCGAGTTGGTCACCTACATTTCCTGTTGGACCAAACAAGAGACATGTCCTTACTTTAAGGCTTCCCCACCCACCTCTGCCTTCCCTTTCAGCAAATTATTCACGTCTTTAAACACAAAACCATGCATGAAGGCTTTTTGAGAGACGCACACACTCTGGACCTGGGATTCAATGCGTCCCACATGGCTGAGGCAGCACTTCCACCTTCAGGAGCCCTCCGGCCGTACCAGCACTGCTGAAGCCGTGATGTTCCGCAGAACACAGCGTACAGGGAGGCACGGGTCCAGGGAAGAGCTCCAGCCACATCCCAGAGGCTCCTCACGGAACAGCGTGCTCCGGCCAGCACTTGCTCTGTGCCAGACTGCAGTGTCCTGGCTCAGCACTGCATACATGGGCAATGCTGGCAGCAAACCCTGGCCCAGGCTGAGAACCAAGCCAAGAGGTACTGCCACCACGCTCCCACCTTGGGGGGAAGGCTCAGCCACTTCACAGGCTTTTCCCAAAACTAGGAAGAATGGCAAATGATGCAATCTCCTGGTAACCCGAGATCCCTGACCACGTTGCTCTGAAACACATACAAAATGGGAACAGCCCAGGGATGCTTGAGGAGCAGCCTCGGCACGTTCAAGCCACACATTGGAGCAACAGTCACACACATGCTCTGCCCACCAAGAGGTTCAGGGCACTCCAGTTACAGGATGCACAAAGAACAACACTCAATTAAATGAAAGCCTGTGTTGGACTTCACACAGAAGCACAGGCAGAAGTAACCACTGAGCCCTTCTATTCCAACAGGCACTCAGCTCTCCATCAAGCCATGGGGGAACAGGTACAAACCATGATGGTTGAGCATTAACCAAAAGCACCTTTCCTATTTTGCAAAGCCACCGACAATAATGACCAAGTCTTCCCTCTCCTCCGCTCTAAAGCGGTTCTTTCCCAGAGCCCAGTAAATCTACCAACAAAGGAGGGAAGTGGCAGGTTCTGTTTTCAAACCTTCATCTATCAGAATTCATCATACATGAACTCTTCCTCCTGGCTTGCTTCTGCTCATCCCATAAAACACTGGGCTTGCCACAGGCTGGGGGTGGGCTGCCTGTCTGCTACACGGTTTGATTTGGAGATAGCATCAGTTTTATCACAATCTTTCATCTTGGTGATGTTGAGTTCCAGAGAGAAGTGACAGGATTTATATCCAAAACAGCTCAGCTGACAGCAAATGTCCCTCATCTGAAGGAGAGGAAGGGAAGAAGCTTTTTTATGATTCATGGGATCTGTTCCACCTACACATACAAAAAAACACACTCCACAAACCATGGCACAAGTCCAGTTCTTTCTGAGCTGTGTCCCCCTTTAGTCCTATTTGTATGTTCTGTTTCTCAGCAGCTTCTCAGATCCATTCCAAAGCACTTGGGATGTACAAAAGAAATTCTCTGGAGCCCGATGAGCTCCGCACAGGGAAGAAACATCGGAAATCCTGCGCATGCCAGAGCTCTGTACATGCAAGACAACCCTCCCAGTGCTGCCTGGAGGGTAACACACTGTCCTGTAATGAAAGCTGAGGTGAGAAGAGGAAGTCAGGAGCAGGCTGGAGCTTCTCTCTATGGATGGTGGGACAGAACACAGATGGTGCTGCTTTCTGATAATGATAAAGTCATGCAGTAACTTCCCTGGGGGGCATTTCCTTACCCAACAAGAGCACCCTCCAAGGTGCCTGTCCAAGCAGCACGAGTGTTCATGCCAACACATTGCTAAGGCATGTGCAGGAACAGCACAGGAGAGCTGCTCAAAAGCCTCTTTGCATAAGACTCTTCTAATGTTGCCAACTGCCTTTTTCAGAATAGGCTCTGCTATGACCATGCTATTAGTACAGCATCAGGGATGACAGTGAGCATCAGGAGCATGTGGTAAGCATGGAAGATCATTCAGTATCACAGCTTTGCAAACTGAGGAGCTATCAAGGAGTTCTGGCAACAAATAACATAGCCAGCTGCTCCCAAGGATGTTTTACCCCACAGCTCCATCCTGTGAAGCACCACTCGGGGCACCAGCCATAGCTCTGGGATGAGACAGGCGCAATGGCAACCACAGAGCTCTGAACCCCCCCACACTGGGTGGCTGCCATCTGGCAGCTCTCCACCAGACATCCCTGCCCTTCATCTTACTGAGCTTATTGCAAAGGGATGTGCAAAGTGATGGCGGGGGGGAAGCAGTATGCTGCAAAGGAAACTAATGGTACCCACACACATCACCTCCCAGACAGCAGGGCAATCACTGCCCGCCTGCCTCCAGAGCTCCTCTGGTTGTTCCGGGGTCCAAGAGACCACCATGAGCTCATCGCATTGTGACAGGAGAAGAAAACCCCAAGAACTCAGGCTTTTTCTTTTCTAACTGAAACCCCACAAGACACTAGGTCACACTCCTACACTTGGTCCCAAGAGCAAACATCCTGGTGCAGTGAATGGCATGCTGCAAACGTGGCAGGAGGGAGGAGACACACAAGGGTCTGGGCTCGACTACAGACACCACTGAGTGAGGAGAAAGCTGCCTGCAGAAACCCAAGTTGCTTCAACACTGGGAAATGAACACCCAGTTTGCATTACCACAAGGCAAAGAAAGCCTTAAAGAAACCACCAGAAAAGCATCTCTCACAGGAGTTTTGTATGAAACAAGCGAAGACCTGCTGTGATCACTTGCTACCTGGGAGTTACCAGTGATGGTGTTTGGTTCTGGCTTTTGCATTTCACAAATGGATTGCTGGTAAAACCCAGTTTGTTCCAAGAACATCCTTGCCAAATTCTATTTTCAGAGAAAAACAGTTATCCTTCAAGCCTTTTTTGGTCAGACACTTTATACCTTCTACTCACTACTTCTTTCTATGACAGATCTTTATTCCCTAAAGCAGAGCTTTATTCTCTAGTCACTTAAAGGGTTTTTTTTAGAAGGAAAACCAGCCAGGATTGTTGCCACCGAGAACATTATAGGAGTTCACATGGGAGGAAAGGAGAAAGGGACAGGGACTGGTTATTGATAAACCAGGCTGCTGCTCTTGCCTGTTAAGGCCCACTAAACATTTTGAACAAAAGGGGATATTCAAAAGCTACTGGCTCCTTTGGCCTTAAGTGGCAGCTTCTAGAACAAAGAGTGAGGATCCAAGGCATATACTGCAGCATGCACACAATAACAATAAAATTAAGTGGTGCATTTTGCTGCTCACATTTCTCCTGGTCCCCTCCTGACTCGGAGTGTCCAAAGACTGGCCAGGTTTATTGAGAACAAAGTGGTCAGCAGGCAGGTACAGCTCAACAGCACCTTGGTTTGCATCATGCATCAGAGCAGGCTCTGGCTTCCAGCAACCCTTGCCAGGCACCCTCACTTCACCCCCTCATTTCCTTGCCTGGTGTCCTATTGTAAAACATCACAGCCTTACAGAAATGTACAAAATGTCTTGTATTAAAAGCCAGCCTTGCCACGCAGCCCAGTGACTGATGGCTTACTTGAATGTCACTGAGGAGCTGGACACCTGTCAGCCAATGATGCACAAAACAAGTTCGTTGCCCTATGAATGCAGGCTCAGTAACAGGAACCCAACCTCATCCACAGAAAGAGCAGCCACACCACCAGCATCCACTTACAGTACTCCCCTTGAAGACCCTTGGCCACTTCTCCAACAGCCCACAGCTTGGAGGCAGTTTCAATGCATCTACCAACCATCAGCAGCCTTCCTCCATTGATTTCTCCAGCCCAGCTGTGAGCTCCCCTTATTTTAGTGCCCTCAACAGCCCAAGAAAGGGAGCTCCAGCTCAGGGCACTGACCACCACCTGTACTGTTTTCAAGCTACTCCCACCTTTGGGTGCTTGCTTTTACTAAGAGGGCAAAGAACAACTATACCTATTTGTCCTCTATTTGCATACGGAAGTTCAATTCAAAAAAGCCAACAATGAAAAAAAAAAAGCCCAAACCAAAACACCCAAACGTTTTGAAAACTGCTGGTTTTCTGCCTTCTGCAAGGGGAAACAGCTTTGTTACAACCTAACTGCTCTGGAATCACAGAATCGTTCAGGCTGGAATCCAACCGCTTCAATTTCGGTTCAGCTCTTACTCAGACTTTGACATGGATAGAATACCTATTTATTAATTAAATCTAGATTTCAGAGTATCAAGGATTATTCACCCCGGTGTTAGTGGCATTAGTTTCCAGCCGAGAGCACTGGTCCCCTGTGACAAATCTGATCAGGCTTTTTATTCCAATCTCAGAAAACAAAAATAAACTCAAAGTGCCACGTTTGCTGAACACACAAATGGGTTCATTTTAATGGTTCGGCAGGAAAGAAAACGTAACTTCAACACAAAGTTCATTGGCTTGAAGGAGGCTCATTCTGTAATGAGATGTGCATGTATTTAGCTTCTTCTGGGACAATTAAATGCATTTTCTTACACTGCTCATCAAATGTGTCTCATGAAAGGGGCCGGAAAACAAATTCAGAGAGTAACGAGGCTGAGAGCGTGACATTTCCATAAATCCCATGGAGAGAAACAGCGTTCACCCAGCAGAACCGGGAACTGCATACGAACAGTACCCGCTGCCGTGCACGGCTGAGTACAAGCGCTCGCCCGTGTAACTCCTCTGTACCAGCTGCCTGGGATCATCATGAAAGTTGATGCACGAACTCCTCCTCCCTTCCACAACAAAAGAAATCCCCAGGCCGCCCGCACACACCAGGGCAGGCTGGATTTCACACTGGCCTGTTCCTTCCCAGCTAAGGAAAATGACACGTTGCCTCAGCAGCAGCAGGGTTTTGTGCCCCAAGCACAGGCAGGGACCAGGCTGTGCTGTGCCAGGGGAGCTCAGGGCGCTGCACCTGGGCGTCAGACTTGTGTCATTTTCCTTGAGGCCAAACTAACCGTCGTTTTAAGGCTGTGAACAGCTTTTTGATCACACAAGGTCAGCAGACGAGGAAAGCTGAAGGAAAATGAACACATTTAAAAACAGCAGTCTGGAAATCAGCGGGCTCTCGGGTTTCCACTGTCCGCACACACACTGCCCGTGCTGGGCATTTTCAGCTCTTTTCTGGGATGCTTTCAGAAACCCGAGCATGCTGCGAATGTTCCAACTGCGACCAAGCCCGACACAGCTCCGGGGGCTCGGTTCACCCGCCCGGGGCCGCAGGGAGCCCGGCCACCGGGCAGAGCCTCCCGTCTCCCCCTCTTTACCTTGCTGTCCTCGCACTTCTTCACCTGGCCGTCCCTGGCCTGCAGCTGGCTGCTCAGGTGGCTGTAGTCGGCCTCCTTCTGCTCCAGTTGCTTCTTGTGGGAGTCCACCTTGCCCATGAGGTCCGAGTTTCTCTTCTCCAGGCGGCCCCGGGCCACCTCGGTGCGCTTGGCCTGGCTCTGCAGCTCGGCCAGCTCCTCCTGCAGCAGCGCCTGGCGGGACGAGGCGTTCCAGCAGTTGAAGGCGAGGATGGCGATCACCACCACCAGCGCCACGAACACGAGCGAGGGCAGCCGGCCGCCCCTCCGGTTCGCCCCGAAGCCCACCATGGGGGAGAGCGCCCGCCGGGGCCTTCACCCGCTCCCCGCCTCCGCCCGAGCCTCACAGGGGAGCAGCAGGGTCAGGCTGGGGGCTGCTCAGGGAGCCCAACGCCGGGCAGAGGCGCTGCCCCGGCAGACCGGGGGCATCCCCGGCGGGGGGGGACGGACACGAAGCGGCTGCGCGGGGCGGGCGGACACGGAGCCGAGCCGGGCTCTACCCGCGCCGCCGGAGCTGGGTCAGGCCGCCACCGCGGCACCGCACCGCACCGCGCCGCGCCGGCCGGCACCGGGCTCTTCCGCCTGGCGTCCCGCCCCTTCCGCCGCTGCCTCCCGCGAGAGCCCGGCCTCCGCCCGCCGCCGCGCCGCCATCTTGTGCGGGAGGGACGGGGAGGGTGGTGCGGCGGGGGTGGTTCTGTCCCGGGACACAGGGACAAGGCACCGGCACCACCGGCACCAGCGGCACTAACAGCACTAACACGTCCATCCCCTGCGGCACCGGCACCGGGACCCGGGGCTGCGGGCTGGGCCGAAACCACGGGGGAGGAAGCGGTGTTGGCTGCTCAGCGCGTCTCCTGACACGCGTTTCCTGAGGGGAGGCGGATGGCAACAAAGGCGGGCATGGGAGTTTGCACCGCCTCAGAGCCTGCACACACACGGGGACACACGGGGACACAGACACACACACACCCATACACCCCTTCCCGTAGTGGTATCGGTTCCACTGCACTCCTGTGGCCCGGCGCCTCGGGCTTGAAGCGGTTTGTACAACCGGAGCCCTTCAGGCTGCAGGACGGTGCTGGGGGGATGTGGAGAGCCAAGGGGAGCGGTTTTCCTCCGGAAAGAAAGAAGAAGAACACCGTGTAAGGATTAACGTGCAAACCACATTGCTGAGGTGCAGCAGGCGCCATGCACCATGCAGAACCTGTCGGCTGTGGTGGTGGCACACCGTGTGTATATATCCCTTTCTTGCACTCACTCTATACCATATTCGCATGCCAATATTTGCATATTGGCACTTCTAATGGCTTCTGTGCTGGTAGGCAATTCATTTGCCAATCTGCTTGCTGCAGATGGCGGTGTCGGTTCGTGTGCTAAATGTAGCGTGGCGAATCACAGCTCACGGTGCACAGCTCCGCTCCGCTCCGCTCAGCCCGTTCTGCCCCGTGCGCCCCTTCTGTGCAAACCTGAACGCTGTGGGGAGGAAACGTTTGTCTCAATAATGTGAATGCAGTATAAGCGTAACGAGTTTGAGCTCAGAACAGCGGGGGTTGAGGTGCGCTGGTTTCTCACCAACTTGTGCAAGTCCGCTCAGAAATCTCTCTGCATAAAATCACAGATCCAGGGAATGGTTTGGGTGGAAGGGACCTTAAAGCCCATCCAGCTCCAGCCCCTGCCGCGGGCAGGGACCCCTTCCACTGGAGCAGCTTGCTCCAAGCCCCTGTGTCCAACCTGGCCTTGAGCACTGCCAGGGATGGGGCAGCCACAGCTTCTCTGGGCACCCTGTGCCAGCGCCTCAGCACCCTCACAGGGAAGAGCTTCTGCCTGAGAGCTCAGCTCAGTCTCCCCTCGGGCAGGTTGAAGCCTGTCCCTGCAGGCCCTTGTCCCTCTCTGGTGTTCCTGCTGGGACTTCCTTTGGTGTTTCTTGGCTGCAGCGTTGCTCTGACTCACTCCAGAGTGGTTTTTTCTTTTTAAATAGTGGAGCTACAACTGTAGAGTTAAGAATGTTCTACATAATTAGATCTAGAATAGTGGATACACTGCATAAGAGAGCACGCTGATTTAATAATCTATTCAGCATTACAGAAAATTGAGAGATTTTAAAAGCATATAATTAAATAGCCTAAGATACTGTTCCCTCCCGACTGCAGCAGAGCAAAGCTCTTCTTTTCGCATGCATTACAAGCTTGTATTTTTTGCAAGCATTCTGAATACAGAACTTAAATTAGCCATGACTTTAGCATGTGCTTTCAAAAGTGATTAACATGCTCCATCTGTTGGTAAGCTGAGCAACTGTCCAGATGAGCCGCAGAGCCTGCTACCATTCCCGTGCAGAGCTGCAAGAGTGCAGTGAAGGAGCAAGGCATTGGTACCCAAAAGAGAGTAGCAGGGTCGTGCAGGGATGTTCAATGCGATTGTGGCTGAGGGAGATGCTCAAAGTACAGGGGTCTTGTGAAGTGGCTGCCACCTCCTTAGGGCTGTACCAAGCATTTTGGTTACTTGTTTGCCAGAATAGCAGTTGGTAAAGACAGTTAATTTCAGTTTCAGCACATTTTAAGAGTCCTCGCATGTGGTCATTTTGGAGGATGCTGTTAGGCCTTTGTAGGGACCATCCAGTCACAGCCTGGATTTGTGTCAGCTTGAGAAAGGCATACATCACGGAACTGAGGTCCTTTGGAACCTCTTGGGTACCGTTTCTAGATTGAGGATCTACTCACACTCTGATTACCATTGTCTGCTTGGTTTGTCTTTGGGTTTAAAAGCAACAACTGCTGTGGTTTGTTCCCATAAAACTTTGTTCAGTCAGAGCACAGGTGAAGTGCGTGGTGTGATTAAACCCAGCAGCAGTCGAGCTCTAAGTGAACACTAAATATATATTGAAGTGAATATACCTGGCACTGGGCACTGACACAGCGCTCTGCAGAAAGGTGAGACATTTCCTCCTCTTACAGCAAAACACTGAGCATAAAACTGCAGGAACAGTGACATAGAGACATGATGAGCATGCTGCTGTTACATTAGTGTGCTGTTCTCACGAGCTGATGCTGTGTCAGAGTAATCCCAAACCTTCCCGACAGCTCTTCCTTCATTTGGGATTGTATCAAAACTCATTGCAACAGGAAGATAGATTGAACAGTGTTTTGAGGTTTAGTAAGTATTTCTGTCTTGGAAGAACCTTTGTGTCTGTAAGGGTGATCTGTCTTGTCAAAATCAGAAGAGGCTCCATTCCTCCAGCACTTCCAGAGAGCTCAGCTGCTACTTCCCGTGTGCTGTTCCAGAGGGAGCAGAGAGGAGCAGGCTCTGACTTACACAGAGAGTACAAAAAGATGTGGAAAAGCTGCAGGCTGTCACACCATCACGTCATGCACATATGTGTACCTGGACATACATGTGCATGTTACAAGTACACATTATAACAAAGCAGTGCATGCAAGCTCGTCACATTCCATGCTGCTGCTTTTTCCTTCCTTCCTTCGAGGCATTTTGCTGTATTTGCACAGGTGTACAGATATTCCCATCATGCATCAAAAGCTTCTTTTGTCCTTGGAGTAGTGACAAAAGGGGAACTACTGAGCACAAGGTCAGGTAGGCAGCCCATCAGTTCAGGCTTCTCTTTTGAGCACACCCTTGGGCAGACCTGCCCAGCAGGGTACCAGTTCTTAGGGAGGGAGGGCAACATGCAGTAGGGATTGCCTACCTGTACCTTCAATTGTGCAACCCCAATTGAATACTTAAGGGGGGGGGGGGGGGGGAAGAAGACGGGGGGGAAAGCTAGAAAGAAAACATCATTTGGGGAGTGGAAGAAAGTGAATGGATCGTGGTACCTGGGTCAGGGTAAAGAATCCTGGCAGAGGTGCACAAGGAGGCACAGACCCACTTCCTTGGTTCTGAGTGCGATTCAGAAGCATCTCAGCCCCATCTTCACCATGTCTGAAATAAAAGGTAACTTTGTCTGCAAAAGACATTTAAGGCATGTTGGCTGCTTTTTCCTCTTACGGATAAAGGTGGCATTTAGAACAGCTTGAAAAGAGGGTGCAATGGAAGCAGTCCATGTTTATGTATGTGGCTGAAATGGTATCAAGTTCGTTTATGGGCACCTGAGATTTGGAAGTCTGGCTGAGGATCAGTAATGTGGAGCGGGGTATCAGCATCACTCTCGTGTAACACGCTGCGTTATGAAAACAAGCACAGGAACATCTGGGCTGCCTCATCAAATGGCAGCACCTTCTGAAGAAAGCCCTTCCTGCAGAGTGCAGCTGTAGCCAGGGAATAGCGCTTGGCTCGGAGCCCCTGCCCAGGTTGGGAGCAGGAAGCGCATCTGTTGCGAGGAGCAGCTGGGGAGGTGCAGTGCACAGTTTGGCATTTAGGAAAGAGGTGCTTTTCCACATGTGGAAGTTTGTTTTCCTTTTCACAGGAGCAGCCACATCTCCTTGTGCAGCTCCCAGGTGCCTCTGGAATTCCTCTAACAGCAGATGACATTTGCAGCGAGGATAAATCCATAGGTGTTGGCAGGAGCTCCTGTAGGTTATTGTAGTAATTATTGCCAAGGCAAAGCACAGATTTGGGCTGCCTGTTTGCAGGGAGCTGCTGTGTGGGGAGTGAAGAGCCGGTGTTGCACTGGAAATGCAATGTACTTGGGCTTCAGAGGGAAGCTGAGGATGGCAGCTGAGGATGGAGGCTCTGTTCAGCTGCTCCCAGAGGAACTCCTGGGGCATGCAGACTGGACTGGGAATGCACGGAGCCGGTGCAGGGAGGGAGACGCCCCTTTTCCCTGGAGCAGGAGGGGAAAGCATCGCTGCAGGTTTCTGTGGAAAGGGAGCAGCCTCAAAGGCACACGACTGCAGCAGGTCCCTGTGGCTGCTGCTGCGGAAAGGAATCTGGGGTGCAGGCACACACCAAGGGGAGATGCTGTGCGTGGTGGAGCGAAGGACAGGCTGCACCTCGAAACGGGGGGTGCTCCCTTCTGTGCTGGGGGAGCTTGCAGGGGGCAGTGCCACCCAGTCCCCAGGGCAGAGAACCGATCGTGAACCCCGCAGAGAGCCCAGAACGGGAGGAAAAAAGCAGTATCCCTGGAGAAGGGGGAAGCTGTGGCCCCTGAGTAGGTGTGGAAAGCTTCTGGGGATTCCCTGCCCTCCAGGGGAGAGGTTCATGTGCTGTGAAGAGGCTGCTGTGGCTCAGCAAGAGTGAGGACAAGTATTTTAATGTGGTGGTGGTTGTGGCTCTTTTGTCTCCAGTGTGGCTGTGGCTCCACAAAGCATCCATATTCCATTGCTGGTTTGGTTTGTTGCTGGGAAACTCAAGCAGAGCAGGAAAAGAACAGTTCACACTTAAATCTGTTAAATGTAAATGAGATCCTGTGGGACAAAGGGAGCACTTCTCTGGCCTGAGGGGGTGGTGCTGTGCCAGGTCTCAAAGGCCCCACTGCAGCCAATGGAATTC